TAACCGGTTAGGTGTAACCTGATAATAATGTCCAACCAGTTCCGCAGAGGAAACTGGGTCGGTGGACATTTATGTAACGGGAAGGTTTCCCCAAAACCACGCAATGTAATGAAAATTAAAAAAAAAAAAAAAAAAAAAAAAAAAAAAAAAAAAAAAAAAAAAAACAAAAGATCCATTTCAAGTTCTCACTGTGTTCTGGGTGCACTCAACACTCTCTCCTGTTTAGAGTTCTGGACGTAAAGGTTCCTGATTGGGTCAAACCTTCTTACAGTTAGGACCACAGTCAAAATTCCCCCTCTCGATTTCCCCAATGAACGAGGGAGCGTCCACAAAATCAACGGCGGGATCAAACCTCCTTACAGTTAGGATCGCTCTTAAACTTCCATTCGCCGTCAAACCTTTCTTACAGTTAGGGGACCAAAACCAAAAACCCTTCATCGATTCCTTCCAATGAACGAGAAGTCCACTTTCAAATCGAGGTGATCAAACCTTCCACAGTTAGTCACCTCAAAACCTTCCCACTTTTTGGGTCAAACCTTCCTACAGTTTAAGGACCAAAAACACGCATCTCATTCTCGATAACGGAAAGTTGCATTTTATAGGTCGATAATCAAACCTTCCGACCAGTACGGCGTATCCGAATCTTTTTGATTCTCGGGAGTGGGGGAGCATCCCACTCTTTAGTTCACCTTTCCGGTGATTCTTGGGGTGTGGGATTCCTCAGCCTCGAGTCTCGCCTTTCCTTCTTTGTTCCTTTGGGGAATTAAAAAGGAATTATAAAATTCTTCGCTTTCCCATTACCACATTCCTTTTCGAAGATTTCAGATTCGATTCCTAGGAGTTTACCCGAATCCTAAGCAGGGATAAGTCTGCGGCCTTAACACCCCGCTTGCCGTTTAGTCTTTTTTTCTGCACAAAAAAGACACCAGAGTTCGATTCTGGGGGGTATTTCGTATCCTGACAACCTTAAGCAAGGGATAAGTCTGCGCCTGGACACGCGCTGCCGGTCAGTTCTTTAACCGGTTTAAAAGCAACACCCGTTCAGCGATATTCAACATTTGTGACAGGTTCGTTTATTTAATAACACCAAAAGTCCATGCCTTACACGCATGGGGGAATTTCATCACTGAAATCCTAAGAAAGGATATGCCGACGCTAAACACGCGTCGGGCCGGTTTAGTCTTTTTTCGCCGTGGAAAAAGACACCAGGAGTCTCGGATTCTGGGGTATTTTATCCCGGAGGGCCTAAGGGAGGGGATAAGTCAACGTTTAATACACGTTGGCTGGGGTAGCTATTCCCATGACAACGGGAACACCATAGTCTAGATCTATGTATTCAAGTCATAGCAACAAGTTTAGAGGGATTCGAGGTCTCTAAGCACAACGGTTACATGCGGAACGGATTTTAGGACAATTTCGCAGTTTGCTAGCCCGACTAATACGGTAGTCGGGTAAAGGTTAATCAAATCCTGTTTAAAGGCTTGGGTTAGCCAAAATTCCTAAAGTCGCAGCGGGCCTAACACGCCTGTCTCCGGTTAGTCTATTGCCCGTGATTTAAAGGACGAAGTCTACGTATTCTTAAGTCGTAGCATCAAGTTCTAAGTGGGAGTTCATTCCTTTAGCACAACGTCACATGGCGGAACGGACTTAAAACAATCCCGCATGTAAGCCCGATTCAAACGGTAATCGGCTAAAAGCATACAAAATCCTGTTGGAGGCCTAAGGGAGTTTTGCAAAAATCCTAAAAGTCAACGTCTTGGATACACGTTGGCCTGTTTAGGTCTTTTCACCGGGGGAGAAAGACGACAGTTTACGTTATTCAATATCGCTAGCACTAAAAGAGTTAAACTCTTTTAGCATAACGTTCACATGCGAACGGACTTAACAATCCGGCATGGCATAAGGCCCGACTTCAAACGGTAGGTCGGGGTTAAAGGCGCCATCAAACCCGTTGATGGCTGAGGATTTGCCAAAAATTCCTATAAATATATATGCCTAGCATTGACGCATCAACTTTATATGACGTTAAGGTCTCGCTGACTCGGAGCATCCAGACGGACCTTCGGGATAATGATCCATGCATTTCCAATTCCGTTAAGAGCTTAAACCTTTACTCACAACTACGAGTATAAAACTGTGTCAATCCGAACAGCTGCATCATAATGAAGGCACTGGACGCGGACAACGCGTCGCAATGAAGTCAAACCAACAACGGTTATAGATGAAGATTCAACGAGTCAATCGATGATAAGTTTTCTGTGTTGGAAGCAGCAAACTCGAGCCCAAAAAGGTCAAGAAATCAAAAGAATTCGACTAAGTTCAAATTCCGAACAACGGTCAGACAATAAATGCTGCACCGAACCCCCCTACACTCTACAAAGCACTGAATAGCCTGAAATTAAGAATCAGAACAAAATCATTCCAATCCCGTTACACGACTGAATGGCAATCACATTCCAAAGTTGATTTCAGACTCTTTCTATAAAAGATGAGACTGAAATACTTTACTTCTTTTACGTATATAAAATTGCCTATAGTCTTAGCACAGCCTCACGCCATTTAACAAACGACAGTGCCGCGCGACGTATCCAAACAAGACCGCCAACGGCTGAAGCCAACTATACGCAACGAGCAGTTAACAGTCGGACAAATCGCACCCAAGCATTTTGGAATGCATTCCACTCGCACGCGGGAATCAAACCAATGTTTAGGTGAATCACCGAGTCATCTAAACAAGGAGCGAACTCGGATGAATCACGGATTCAAATCAACATCAATTCCGCGACTCAAATTCAGAAGGTTGGTTTACTACGCCATATCAGGAACCCGACTCCACTGGCCATATCTGGAATCAAGCTCAACAAGTCGTCCAAGTCAATCAACCACACCAAAAACCAGAACCGGAAACAAAGACAAAACGACAAACACCCGGGATCGGAACCGAACACCCGCCAGGGTGTTCGGCCCAGGAGGCCGAGCCACCCCTGGAGTTGGGCT